TATTTTTAGTTGTCCAATTAATTTCTTTCTATTTTTAGTAGAGACGGGGTCTCGCTCTTGCTCAGGCTGGTCTCGAACTCCTGAGCTCAAATAATCCGCCCGCCTCGGCCTCCCAGAGAGCTAGAATTACAGGCGTGAGCCACCACACCCAGCCCAGGGATAACTTTTATTCTGCTCCATTCTGAGTGCTTTTTATAAAGCAAATGACTCATAAACTTCAAATAATATTATTTAATGTGAAATTGGATTCTGAAAAAAAAAAATGAGTTCCCAACCTGTAACATCTCATTCTGTTGTTCCTTTATAATAAAAGGCAGTATGACAGAAACTTAATAATATGTGCTTTGGAGTCAGACAGAATGTGCTACTTTATCTAGATGTATGACTTTGGGGAAATGACTCAACTTCTAGGAGCCTCAGTGTTCTCATCTGTAAAATGGGAATAATTGATTGACTTTTTTTTTTTCTGCACAGGTTAAATAATGACTTCTATTCTCCCATGCTTGGAATCATAGTCAACTGTATTTACATATAGTATTTACATATAGTCTGATATTCTAGTTTTTAGGTTAGATAACTCATTTATTCCTCATTCCCTGTTGTCTACCTAGTAGCTATGTTATTGTTTATACTATTTGTCATGGTAGGTTTGGAGAAGAGGTAAATTTTATTACTCATTGGCAATCTAATAAAAGATTTGGTAGGGAACGATATTAGCAAAACTATTTGGAAGTTACGAAGAGAGATCTCAAGTGTCTATTGTCATAATTACAAACTAACTATGTTCCCAAGTACAGTAATCAAAGTCATATCACTAAGTCTAGCCAATTCTAATCTAGTTTAATCACCTCTTCTCAGACACTATCAGAGAATGAGTAACAAAATAGTTCCCTTAACTTTAATAAGATAAAAACTATATGGCAGACTCTTTATCTCTAAAGAGTGGAAGACAAAATTGCCAAGTTAGTTGGAAACATATTCTGTACTTACCAGCTGTTTGTTGTGCTGTGGCAGAGGACATGGCTGGGCACCAGCTGGCACCTTGTACACCGGGGTTACTGACATACTGGCAGGGTGGGCACATATGAAGCGCACCTGCACAACCTCTACAGCTGGACTAGGATTCAGGACACCTGGACGATTTCCAATTCGGAACGTGAGAACCTTAAGGAAATATCAGAGCAAGAGATAATTGTGGGTAGACAGTTGATGTAAGTCATGCCAATATAAATGTGTTAGAATTATTCATACTCCAGTATAAAGAGCCCCTTTGGACATTATGTAATCAGGCAAATCCCTTATAGATGTTATAGTTCTTAATTATCTGTGCTAAGGGGCATTAAGGGTATCATGAAAATTTGAAAACAAATGGAACATTTTTTAAGTTTATCAATTACTTCAGTCTTTTATTCCACCAAATCTTTTGTTACCAGTTGGTAAAAAGTGGAAAAACTAATGTGTGTTTCAACTTGTCTCTAGTGGAAGTACTAATGAATAACAGGATGTGCAAACAAAAAGAGTTAGGGAACTTCAAGTAGGGGTTAATTAGGCCCGAAATTACTAATAGCTCACTCAACAAACTAAGAAGGAAACTACTTCAACATAATAAAAGCCTTATATGAAAAACCCATCATACTCAATGGTAACATCATACTCATACAGCTAACATCATACAATAGTAAAATACTGATTCAAAAGTGGGCAAAGGATTTGAACAGACATATTTTCTTCTCCAATACACATGGCCAATAAGCACATGAAAAAACGTTCAACATCACTAATTATTAGGGAAATGCAAATCAAAACTAGAATAAGATACCTGCTCATACCCATTAGGATGGCTACTACCAAAAGAAGCAGAAAATAATAAGTGTTGGTAAGGATGTGGAGAAATGGGAACACTTGTGCACTGTTGGTAGGACTGTAAAATGGTATAGCTGCTGTGGAAAACAGAACAGTGGTTCCTCAAAAAATTAAAAATAGGCTGGGCGCGGTGGCTCACGCCTGTAATCCTAGCACTCTGGGAGGCCGAGGCGGGTGGATTGCTCAAGGTCAGGAGTTCGAGACCAGCCTGACCAAGAGCGAGACCCCGTCTCTACTAAAAATAGAAAGAAATTAATCGGACAACTAAAAATATATAGAAAAAATTAGCCAGGCATGGTGGCGCATGCCTGTAGTCCCAGCTACTCGGGAGGCTGAGGCAGAAGGATCGCTTGAGCCCAGAAGTTTGAGGTTGCTGTGAGCTAGGCTGACACCACGGCACTCACTCTAGCCCAGGCAAAAAGAGTAAGACTCTGTCTCAAAAAAAAAAAAACAAAAAACAAAAAACAAATAAAACTTACCTTGCATCTTTCATTAGTGTTAACTTTTTCCCCTGTGGGTGCCTCCTTATCCCAAGAGGCACTGAACCAGAATTTGTGAGTATCCATCAGCAAGAACTTGCTGGCATCAATTTTAGCTTCTGATGGAATCAAAAGTAGAAAGCATGCCAGGTTCTACCACTTTTATTTTGAACCACCTGTCATAATGTTCCCGTTATAATGGACCAATCCTTAGGGCCCAAAATAATGGCTCCTGTTCTTAAAATCCTTAAGTATATAAGGTAAATGATGATTGATGTCCCTCCATAGGACAGAAAGTTATCTTTCAGGGTTGTTTAAAGGGAGTATGCTAATATTCTTTAACTAGGTGTTTACAGAGATATATGCACATGTAAAAATTCAGATAGTACCTTAAGATTAGTGTACTTTATGTACCTTACTGTGCATATTTTATATCTCAGTAAGAAAGAAGAAAGAAAGGGGAAAATCTAAAGCTTGAGGATACAACTTAAAGATATGTCTGTGGTAGAAACATGAGGGAGTAAACTCCCTGAAACTCAGGTTTGATGAGAGAACTATAGATCTAAAAACAAAAAAGTGACAAGAACAAGGCCAGGTGCGGTGGCTCATGCCTGTAATCCTAGCATTCTGGGAGGCCGAGGCAGGAGGATTGGTTGAGGTCAGAAGTTCGAGACCAGCCTGAGAAAGAGCGAGACCCTGTCTTATTAACCGAGCATGGCGGTGCGCGACTATAGTCCCAGCTACTCTGGAGGCTAAGGCAGGAGGATAGCTTGAACCCAGGAGTTTGATGTTGCTGTGAGCTAGGCTGATGCCACGGCACTCTACTCAGGGCAACAGAGTGAGACATGGTCTCAAAAAAAAAAAAAAAGTGACAAGAACATAATTATCACTAATCCTTAGTAGAGACCATGGATAGTTAGTAAGCCCCTAAGTGGACATAGCTGGGTCCATGAAAAGAAATGCCAGTTCCTTACCATGAAATATCTCACCTTCAGGGGTTCATAAGCAGCAAATGTGGCACTGCTCTCCAAGTACTCTTCATACTCAGTCACACTCACTGTTACCAGAGTATGGCCCAGAGATCTGGCTGCTATATGTGTACTGGAACAGTGCATTGGTCCAGGTCTTTGGATACCTGTGAATCAAAAGATGTGATTTCAGTAGGATAATAAGCAGTCAGTTCTCAAGGAAATTAGGCTACAAAAATGTAAGAATTTTAATACATTAAAAATACCATCTTGATCTCAAACTAACCACTAGGCCCTTATTTTTATATCAAGTTGATAAAATATCTGTTCTTTTAGGCCAGGTGCAGTGCTCACACCTGTAATCCTAGCACTCTGGGAGACCGAAGGGGGAGGATCGTTTGAGCTCAGGAGTTCGAGACCAGCCTGAGTGAGAATGTGACTCTATCTCTACAAAAAATAGAAAAATTAGCTGGGCTTGGTGGCACATACCTGTAGTCTCAGCTATGTGGGAGGCAAAGGCAAGAGGACAGCTTGAACCTAGGAATTTGAGGTTGCACTGAGCTACAATAATGCCACCGTACTCTAGCAAGACTCTGTCTCCAAAAAAAAAAAAAATCTGTTCTTTCAATTAACAGACATATATCATATAAGACACAATTCTTTTGGGAGGCCAAGGCAAGAGAATCACTTGAGGCCAGAGTTTGAGACCAGCCTGGGCAACATAGCAAGATCCTTTCTCTACAAAAAATAAGAAAAAATTAGCTGGGCATGGTGGTGTGCACTTAGATACACCACCTTAGACAGGAGGATCACTTAAGCCCAGGAGTTCCGTGCTATAGTGAGCTATGACGGGGCCACTGTATTCTAGCCTGGGCAATAGAACAAGACCCATCTCTAAACAAACAAACAAAAAACCACACACAATTCTATGTACAGTGAGGATACATATATGAGCAAATATCTTCACCTCAAGTCATTTATCGTTTAGAAGGAGAGAGTGAATATGTACATAAATTACTTAAAATATTGATAGATAATGCTTTATTGCTTTATTTATTTATTTATTTATTTTTGAGACAGAGTCTCACTGTGTTGCCCGGGCTAGAGTGCCATGGTGTCAGCCTAGCTCACAGCAACCTCAAACTCCTGGGCTCAAGCAATCCTCCTTTTTCAGCCTCCCGTGTAGCGGGAGCTACAGGCACGCGTCACCATGCCTGGTTAATTTTTTTTATTTTTAGTTGTTTGGCTAATTTCTTTCTATTTATAGTAGAGATGGGGTTTCGCTCTCTCTCAGGCTGGTCTTGAACTCCTGAGCTCACGCAATCCTGCCGCCTCGGCCTCCCAGAGTGCTAGGATTACAGGCGTGAAAGTGAGCCACCGCACCCGGCCAGATCATGCTTTAAAAAGAGCTTTATTGGAAAAATTACTCATAGAAAGTGGTAAGCCTAGAAAATGGAAAGATTATTTCTAGCCATAGACATCAAGGAAGGTTTTATTGTCCATAAACATTGCTTGGTCAAAAAAAAAAAAAAAGGGAAGTTTAAAGTATCTCAAGCTGAGAAAACAGAATGAACAAAGAAATAGAAAAGATATATAAATGAGAATATGAAGGAGATATATGGGAAAATTTAACTAAAGTAACTGGTTTAGCTAGAACCATATATTAAGCAGAAGTGTGAAGTCATGAAAAGTATTAATATATATATTAAAGAAAGAAAGAAAAAAAGAGTTTGAGGCTGGAAACGGAAAACCTTACTATAAGCTAAAAACTGACATTGTCCAGCCACAATGTTACTCAATTTCTGTGTCTTTGTTTCTTTACCTGTATAATGAGGGGTATAACACCTACTACAAGGCAGTTGACAGAATAAATAAAAGTATTATAAAGAAAGGTAATACGTGAATTTAGACTATAATTGATAGTTTCTGAATTGATTATTGGTTCCTTAAAGACAAAGGAAGGGGAAAATAAAAAACCTACTCTTACCTTCTTTGAAAAGAGTAAAGACTCCTTGTTTATCCATGTTCAGATCCAAGGATAAATGAGAGCAGTCTGTGAATGCAATGGCCTCTTTGGTCTCTTTATTTACATGATACATTGCAATGGGGATTTCTATAAACTGACCAATCTCCACATCAGCATGAAATGGTAACAGTTCCATTTTTTTCAGTTTCAGGACATATATCTGGAGGGGAAAAAATTCATCTTTCAGGAAAGTTATGTTAGTGAAAGTCTTAGAAGAAAAGAAATCATTCCTTAAATATTTAAATACCTAAGCACGAACACACATATGTATTATATACAAAAACATAGAGTATATACATGTTATTTATATTATTAATATATACTATTTTATACACACACACACAGGTGCTAAACATATCACTCTTTTTATTCCTTGATTGATTGATGTCTTTAAAGCATCTAACACCACACAGCAGGGATCTGGCAAACTATGGTCAGCACATGACTTGTTTTTATACAGTGAGCTGAGAACAGTTTTATATTTCCGAAGGATTATAAAATGACAACAAAAACAACAAAGAAGAAGATTATAAGATAGAGAGTGTATGTGGCCTGCAATGACTAATGTATTTACTGTGCGGACCCTTTACAGAAAAAGTTTGCTGATCTTTGACTTAGAGCACTTCCCCTTTCTTGATATCTTTTTAAAAATATCCTTTGTCGTTTTTGTCACATTATGTGACAGAATTTTCTTCTGCTTGTTCCCCTTCTTCGGCCTATGTCCCTTAAAGTGACACATTATACAGGATCCATTTTCTTTTCTAACTCTGTATGTTCTTCCTAGGAAATCTTATCCCGTCCCAAAGCTTCAGTGACCAACGATATGGTAAGTCGCCAGCTCTGATCTTTCAATTGAACTTCAGACTCCTATTTCGAACTACAAACATCCATTTGGATGTTCCACTGGGGGATCACACTAAATGTATCCAAAACTAAATTCATCATCTTTCCCCTTTTGTTGTGTTTTCTATCCACCCTACTGCCAAAGCTGGAAACCTCCACATCATCTCTGTGGCTTTAAATATTTCACTTTTCCCCACCCAACTAGGCATCAAATCTGATTAAGTCTACCTGTAAAAAAATTCTCCATTTGTCCACTTCTGTTTACTCTCATTACCATTTCTCTAGCTCAGGGTTAACTGGAGTCTTTGCCTTCACTTTCTCCCTTCAATCCATGCTAGGGTACTAATCTATAGCACCAACAACTATCTTTGTTTAAAAAATACTATAGCTGTTATTGTCTGATCATAAAAATAATTAGATATCTTTCAAAACAGAGGCCTTATCATATTATTGATCTGTTTAAAAACCTGTGTTGGTTTCTCATTGCCTGCAGCAGGGGTTGGCAAAGCTTTATTCTCTAAAGGGCCAGACAGTAAATATTTTAAGCTTATGTAGGCTACAAGTTCTCTGCGGTAACTACCCAACTCTGTATTTGTGAATGAAAGCAGCCATAGATAATATGTAAATGTAAGAAAGTGGCTGAATTTTGATAAAGCTTTCTTTTTTTTTTTTGAGACAGAGTCTCACTCTGTTGCCCTGGCTAGAGTGAGTGCCGTGGCGTCAGCCTAGCTCACAGCAACCTCAAACTCCTGGGCTCAAG